TCTGGTGTGGGAGAGCATAAAAAACAACCCAAGAGATATTAATGCTGGTGAAGATGTGGAATTTAACTAAAAAGATGATAAACTGAAAAACAAAAGACAATGAAGAAAGAAACTAAACCAGATACAAAAAATGCTCATAGATTAGAATAAAGATAAAATGTCTACACCTAAAACAACACAGATTCAATGCAATTAATTTCTAAAATACCAATATCATTCTTTTTAGATTTAGACCAAATCCTAAAATTTATATAGACCACCAAAGGCCTAGGGTAGCCAAAGAAATATTGAGGAAGAATAGAGATGCAAATCAAAACAACAATGCGGTACCATCTCACACCTGTCAGAATGGCCAACATCAACAAATCAACAAGTGTTGGGGAGGTTGCGGAGAAAAAGGAACCCTCATGCATTGCTGGTGGGAATGCAGACTGGTGCAACCACTGTGGAGAACAGTGTGGAGTTGCCTCAAAAAACTGAAAATGGAACTCCCATTTGACCCAGTAATCCCACTCCTAGGAATATATCCCAAGAAACTAGAAACACCAATCAGAAAGGATATATGCACCCCTATGTTCATAGCAGCACAATCTACAATAGCCAGAATTTGGAAACAGCCTAGGTGCCCGTCAGCAGATGATTGGATCCAAAAACTATGGTACATCTACATTATGGAATACTATGCTGCCATAAAAAAGAAGGAATTCTCATCATTTGCAGCAACCTGGATGGAATTGGAGAATATCATGCTGAGTAAAATAAGCCAATCAATGAAAGAGAAACACCACATGACCTCACTCATTTATGGATAATAAAGAACATTATAAACTGATGAACCAAAAGATAGATATAGAGGCAGTAAAGCAACAAGCAGACTGTCAAATTACAGCGGGGAGGGGAGGGAGATCTGGGGGAGATAATAGATCAACCGAAGGACTTGTATACATGCATATAAGTACAACCAAAGGACATAAAACTCTGGGGAGGGAGGGTATCTATGGGAGGGAGGGGAGCAAAAAAAAATCAATAAAAATAAAATAAAATAAAAATCGGGAAAAAAAATATTGAGGAAGAATAAAGTTGAAGGTAGCACGCTCCCTAATATCAAACTACAATTTGTGTCTCTTCAATTTGTGTTGGCAAAACTAGACAAGTACACAAGAAATGAAATTGGACCACTTTCTTACATAAAAATATACCAAAAAAATGGGTAAGAGACTTAAATTAAGACCCAAAACCATAAACTACTATCCAAAAACATAGGCAGTAAATTCTTCGACATTGATCTTAGTAATTTCTTTTTGGATATATCTCCTTGGGCAAGAGAAACAAAAGAAAAAAATAAACAAATGGGACTACATCAAACTAAAAAAAATTGTACAGCAAAGGAATCCATCAACAAAATGAAAGATAACCTACTGAATGGGAGAAGATATTTGCAAATGATACATCTGATAAAAGGTTAACACACAAAATACATAAGAAACTCATACAGTTTAACACCAAAATAATCTGATTATAAATGGACAGAGGACCTGAATAGACATTTCTCTGAAGAGGACATATAGATGGCTAATAGACCTATATAAAAGATGCTCAAGCCGAAACCGGTTTGGTTCAATGGATAGAATGTTGGCCTGTAGACTGAAGGGTCCAGGTTCGATTCCGGTCAAGGGCACGTATCTTGGTTGCGGGCACATCTCCAGTAGCGGGTGTGCAGGAGGCAGCTGATTGCTATTTCTCTTTCATCAATGTTTCTATCTCTCTCCCTTCCTCTCTGTAAAAAATCAATAAAATATATTTAAAAAAAAAAGATGCTCAACTTCACTAATCATCATGGAAATGCAAACTGGAACCATAATGAGGTATCAAATTACACCTATCAGAATGGTTATCATCAATAAATCAAATAAAAAGTGCTGACAAGGAACAAGAAGAGATAAACCAAAGAACTTATATACATATTTATAGCCCATGGATACAGACAATAGGTTAGTGAAGACCTGAGGGGATGAGTATGGGCTGAGAGGAGGAGGGGCAAATGGGAAATTTCTGTAATACTGTCAACAATAAAAAATATATTAAAAAAAAAAAGACTGACAAGGATGTGAAGGGAATCTTCATACACTGTTGGTGGGATTGTAAACTCGTACAGCCTCTACGGAAAGCAGTATGAAGGATCCTCAAAAATTTAAAAATACAGCTACTAAACAATCTACCAATTCCACTTTTGAGCATTTATCTAAAGAAAACAAAAACACTAATTAAGAAATATTATATTATTCCACTTATAAGTCAAATCTTATAATAAATGAACTTATTCCACTTATAAGTCAAATGAATTATGAATTATTCCACTTATAAGTCAAATCTAAAAATAAATGAACAAAATAAGTGAATAAACAAAACTAAACAGACCCACAGATATATAGAACATGCTGACTGATGGATGCCAAGGGGGAGGGAATTTTAAAAAGACATAGTCACACCCCTATGTTCCATTCCTTTATTCTTCCCAGTTATCAAAACTAATATTTTCAAATAGAAATGTCCCACCTTTTTCCAGAAAAAAGTTTTGCTACTTATTGCCAAATTGCTACCACTTATCTGGAAATTTCTATTCCCAATAGCAATGTATAAGAATGTTTATCTCATGTTAGTCCTCTATCAATACTATCTTTAAAATGATTGCATATATTCCATTGTTACACATTGTTTGATTTAGCTTTATTTATTTTTTTATTACTAGTGAGTCTGGGCTTTTTTTGCACATTTTTTTGGAGTTATGTATTATATATTACCCATATTTCTACCTAGAGTGTTCATGTTTTAAAACAATTATTCATAACAGTATACTGATATTTTTCTTAAACATCATATTAAACTAAGTATCATATATTTTATTTTGCTTTGTTGTTAATTTTAGATGTCTTTCCAATCAATAAGTGAAGCACTGTTCTTCCTCTTATAATACAATTTCATGAGCTAAAAAATCAATTTAAAAAATTAGGTAGGCTGAGGCAAAGACTGCACCTAGAAAAATTATATACATCAACCGGACTCTCAAACAGGTGGTGGCAACTGGGAACTGCTCTTCCCACAGCCAATGTTCCACCAGGGACTGATTCAGAAATAAGATCTTGATTGGCGGCCTCCCTCATTCATACATTTCCTAAGTAACAGGATTTTTTGTTGTATTTTGAGTTTGGCTTTTTGCATGTTCCAGTGGTCCTGGCCTTGGGGATTCCACTGCGAAAGGCGATGATGCTGGTGTAGATCCACAGCCATTCTGGAGTACGTTACATCTTCACACACCTTTTGTTTCCAGGCATTCCGGTGTTGGCAGCCCTCTTAAGCACAAAAATGCTGCTGGGATATATTTTCACTTACACATGTGTTACTGCTGATAAGAACAAAGCTGCCTGTCACAGCTGTTAGCCACTCAGTGCTGGGTGACTCTGCGAGTGCAGTTTCTGCCCGGCTGTGGGGTAGAGTGTGTGCATTTACACTTCTCTGGCATCACTAAATCCCCTTTGATATGAGTGGATTTTCTGCAGTGACAAGAAACATACTTGAGCTTTTTTCTCTCTCCGTTTCACAGTTCTTAACTGCCAGCCATGGGGAGAAGTCACCATTTGTCACCATTTCTTCAGCTAAGAAATGCTCCTTTCCAAAATCCTTTGGCAGAATCTCCCTGAGATCTGTTTTTCTGCTTCTTCCTAAATTAGCAACAGTCTTCAAAGAAAAAACACAAAACAACTGACAAGTCAATGTGAGAAGAAACTAGCTCTAATTTTGTATTTTTTTTCATGGAAAGTTTCAGAATTTATTATCTATAACCAATAAAAGTGGACAAGAAAATTTGCAGTAAAAAGTAAAAAATGTGTATATACATAAGAGCAGATTGTTCTTTATTCAAGAAAAAACACATGATACAAATTCAAGATTTTATTAAAATCATTTGTAAATTAACATAATATCTCAGTGATGAAGGAACATTTTTAATAACGCAAAAGAATGAGTTATGTGAATAAACAGAAGAGTGAACTGTGTTAATTGTGACATTAAATGATTACATGATTTAATTATTCTTTGTATAACAAGCAGCTTTGTGAACATCTATTCAAGGAACTGAAATGTGTGCCTACTCTGGAATTTGCAGTTGAATTAGTTTTCTTTCCCACCTTTGGTAATTTTAAGAAAAAAAAATGGAAATGGTTTTAAGAACTTATAAAAAATCTACCACCTACCACCTACCAAAAGAAATTAAAAGATAAGGTGGTAAACGTTAAGAAGAAAAATGTCAACCCCTCGCAACCCCCATGCAGCTAAAAACCCACATATCTTTTGTTGTTGTTAATCCTCACCTGAAGATATTGATTTTAGAGAGAGTGGAAGGGAAGGGGAGAGACAGAGAGAGACAGAGACAGAGACAGAGACAGAGACAGAGACAGAGAGAGAGAGAGAGAGAGAGAGAGAGAGAGAGAGAGAGAGAGAGAGAGAAACATCAGTGACAGAGAGACACACTGACTGGTTGCCTCTCGCACACACCCCAACCATGGCTGGGGATCGAACCTGCAACAAAGGTTGCAGGAATCGAACCCAGGGCCCTTCAGTCTGCAGGCTGACGCTCTATCTACTGAGCCAAAATGGCTAGAACCACATATAACTTTTGACTCCCCAAAAGCTTAATACTAATAGCCTACTTTTGACCAGAAACCTTACCAATAACATAAACAGTTTAACAAATATTCTATATGTTATATGTATTACATACTGTATTGTTATAATAAAGTTAGAGAAAAAGTCTCAAGAAAAACCATAAGAAGAAATACATTTATAGAATTTATTAAAGAAATTCCATGAATAAGTGGACCTTTCAGTTCAAACCAGTGTTGTTCAGGGGTTAACTGTATTTGCTTGAGGGACAGAGCAAGAGAGAACAGAAGCAATAACGAAAAAAGAGACCAGAAGTCCAAAGTCCAGGCCACGCGAACCCCTTACTTATTCTTGGCCGTCAGGGGTTTCCGGCTGATCTTTTTCGATTTGTCATTATTTTTCTTCGGTGGTTCTGGATTTGCCTGCATGTGTCTGCCGTAGAGACTGAAAAGAGAGAGAGAAACAGTGAGCTCTCCCTTCCTAACACAAGACACGCTTGTACTGGTAGAGCTTTAAACAACAGATTCCTCTCCAGGAATGCTCACTAAGCAAACACACACACACACACACACAAAAAAAAAACAACAAAAAAAAAACAAAAAAAAACCCCCAAAAGATCAACTGCTTTTCTCTGGGTCATACACTGTATTTAAGAATTAAAAATTCCATTTCTCTCTCTCTCTCTCTCTCTCTCTCTCTCTCTCTCTCTCTCTCTCTCTCTCTCTCACACACACACACACACACACACACACACACACACACACACACACACACTCACAGGTAACACTCCAGGAGGTCCAGTTCTGGAATTTCACAGTCATTGGGCGGGGTCAAAAACACTGAAGGAAGAGAGAAAGGGCTGTGAGAACTAATAATGCTTAGCCCAGACATCCCAAAGAGAAGTTCTGAGGGCTGTAAGTGTCTAAGTAGACAATGACAAAAATTGGGTAGAACAGGAGAGACAGAGTATCCATTTAGTGAAGTGAGCATCCTGCCGGGCCCGAAAGCTCGGGGGCTGGATAATATGACAGAGAGCAATGGGGTCCGAGCCCGCGCTGGCTGCTCAGGCCTGATGGATAGTGCTGTGGTGGCGACCACACAACAGTGTCGCGTTAATAAGTACCGCTGATTAAATGTTGACAGAGAACCCTGCAATTACAGCGATGGCATCCATCGCAGAGCAAGCTAGCTCTGCGGCTGAGAGGATTGAAATGAACAGCAGATAGTAATTAATCGATAATTTATGAGTAATTCTGATTAAACTGAATTAATAGCCATCCTAAAATAAATACAGCCCAACCTCAATTCCCTTTACTGATATAACTGTGTCCCAGTGTTTATGGGAAAGGCACTGCCTAACTCTGCTTGTTGCAACTGACTTGTGCCAACCGAGGAGGGCTGACACACAGTCTGCCCTCCATATTCAAGTTCTCCCTGGTTCTAAGGCCCACTCAAGGAAGCGACACCCTCCCTGGCGCTCACATTTCACCAGCCACAGTGCAGCACTACTTGGCATGTACGTATATCTCAATGACACTGGTGGGCCAGCTGAGGGGTGGACCTGGCACAACTGACCCAGTGCTTGGGGAAAGCTGGACATTAGGGTTTTGATAGGTGATCCTGTATTCTGCCTTTTCAGAAGCTTCCAAACATCTTCTTAAAAGTGGTCTAAAGACCAATAGTGATCTGAAGACAGGTCTCTGCTCCAGAACCTGGATATGGCTGGGGGCAGACCAGAGGCTGGAGCTCGTACACCCAGCCAGGAGCAGCAGAGGGTCATCTGTTGGGTAAAAGAGGTACCACATGTCCTGGACAGGTAACATTTGAGCCTGCAAATTAGCGTTCAACTTCTGTAAGTGCTTAGACTTTTTGCTAAATCTAGTGGAGAGGCCCAGGCCTACCCAGGCCAACAGGGGGCCACCCGGTGCTTCTACAGGAAAAACTCCTCCTTCCTCAAGAGGCTCTGCTACCAAGACAAAGATCCTTAAACCCATGTTTGCCCCTCTCCCTCACACTTTACAAATGCCCTGGTTTCCCTAAAGTCTACATCATGGACACCAGGGGCCACTGGTTTAGGCAAAGGGGCAAGTCCAGCCAGTTCAGCTTTACTGGCATGGCCACCTCAACCCTAGGGATGTCCTTGTCCCAATCCCTGGAACCTATGATTGCCACCTTACTGGCAAAAGGGATTCTGCAGAGGTGATTAAATAAAGATCTTGAGATAGGAATATTATCCTGCAGTACTGGGGCAGGGAGGATCTACACCCCACCCCCACCCCCTTCTCTCATTTTTCGTAGATCTCTCCCAGGTGCATCTAACATGGAGAGGAAACTCTGAGCCAAAGTAGACTTGTTGATCATAGTCCTTGATCATATGCTCTCTGAAGCATTCTTATGGATGACCAGCCTGACCTCCCCAAGCTCAGGGGCTCTGTGCTCAGTGTGATGTGCCAGGAGGGAGGCCTCTGGTCTCTAGTCTCCTCTCACTGGGCACAAAGCAGAGATCTGAGTCTACTCAGTGCATTCACATGGCCCCAGAATTGTTGGTTTTCCAGCTTTCTTACAGCTTCACGTAGCTCTCCTCTACTAAGTCCTTATCCCCATAAGGGAAAAAAGGATACCTGTTCTTACTCACAGACAACATCAAACTTTAAAAGTTACAAAAATCTGCATGAATGCAATGCCATGGTTCCTCACTTGGAAATGCAGGAGCATTGAGGCACTAGAAAGTGGTAATGACAAAAAAGAGGCGAGAGGAAGGAGAAGCAAGATTTGCTGAGGCCTGCTGTACCATGTCCTCTCTGGAGGCCAGAAGGGATAGGGGGTACCTGGACCCTGACAGCGGTCATCTAGCAAAGTCATTTCAGAAGAGGGTGCAAAAGCTCTCGGGACTCAGCAAGGCTCCTCTTTTTAGAGAGGAGTTGGAATATTTCAGTTTCCATTTCCGCCTTTTTTATGCAGACCCCACTTTGTGTCTGAACTTCCTGGGGCTGCACACTATGAAGAGCCAGATGCACAGCAGTGCTGAACCAGATGTATTTAAATCTGAGCTGTGTCACCCCCTGGTTGTTGACTCTGGTCAAATGATCACTCTCCCTATGCCTCGGTTTCTCCATTTGTAAAAACCAAATGATGTGGTTTTCCTTGCAGGAAGTCACAATGACAAGCCTATTGCAAGGGGCCAGCAAATGCCTGTTGAAAAATAGGGCCCACATGGGGTTATAGTCAGAGAGATTAAATACAGATAATTATATGATTACTTTACTTCTTAAGGGATTTTTCCTCTGGGGGAAAAAAAATAACAAGGTGTTTTCTATCAACTCAAACCCCCAAGCATCTCTGGAAGAAAGGTCTTAATCCCCTTTGAAGAAAGCAACTACGGCAGAGCTAAATGCAGTGCCCCACTTCCTGGGTGAGTCACCGCAGAGCTGGCATGACACTGCCCTCCCTTCTCTGCGTGATCCTTTCACTCCCCCAGCTCTGTGGGCAGATGCAAGTCACCGCTTTACTAAGCGGCCAGTCCCACGTGGAGACGTCACTGTGGCAGAGCAGCAAGGACAAGTGTCTCAGGATCCAGAGCGTCAGACTCCATTCTTGGCCCTACCAGTGATTAGTCATGGGGCCTCCATTTGAGAAGTGCGGTAGTCAGAATAATGGCCCCCAAATGTCCACCTTCTAGTCCCTGAAACTTGTGAATATATTACATTGCAAAAGAGACTTTGCAGAGGTGATGAAGTTAAGGACCTGGAGCTGGAAAAATTAACCTGGATTTTCCAGGTGGGCCCAAGGGAATGACAAGAGTCCTAGAGGGAGGCAGGAGGGTCAAGGTTAGAGAGATATTTGAGCACGTGACCACGTGACCTTCCTGGTTTTGAGGATGGAAGAAGAGGCCCCTACCAATGACTGCAGGTGGCTTCCAGAAGCTAGAAAGGGAAGAAAATGTTTTCTCCCCTAGAGCCTCCAGAGGAAGCAACATTGTGGACCCCTTGATTTCAGACTTCTGACCTCTAGAACTATAAGATGATACATTTGTTTTCAGATGCCAAGTTCATGGTCACTTGTTTCAGCAGCAACAGGGAACTCATACAGTAAGTGAAGCCCTCTGGATCATAAACAGGGCATTCTACCAGGAAGATGCTGCTTAATTTAAGCAGAAAAAAAAAATAGAAACAGTCTGGGGTAGCACTGAAAAGAAGGGAAAGTGAAAAACTACTTTCAGAAGACTCGAAGTGTACCCAAAGGAATAATGGGTACTCTTTCTACCAGGAGAAGGGGACTAGGCTGGCAAACTGTCTCCTCTTCACTGTGTTTGGTCCCGGCCCCCTCCACTCTCTGAAGCTAAAACGCCCGGCTTGTGTTTTGAATGTATCTGGGATTAATTTATAGAGGGTCATGGAGGGTCACTGAGCAATGACAGAGAAGTCATTGCCCTGGAAGAAGGTTTACTATGGGCAGTTCCTGACAGGACGGGGATACATCACACCACGTAGGCCACGTGGGGAAGTACGAGGGTGGGCCAGGAGGTGGAAGGAGTGTAGCAGAGAGCAGGGCCTGGAGAGGAGTGGGTGAGGCAGAGCAGGCAGGTTGGGGAGAGTTTGGAGCTGGACTGTTGGAATAATGTCAGTGTCTCTGGGCCACAGGGCTGGTCTAGTTGTCCAGTGTAGGGAGGAGGGGAAGTGTTGTCTTGGTCTGTGAGCGTTAGATAAAGGGGGTGGCTAGGGGTACGGGCTGTGGAGTGGTTGGTTTGTATGTGAAAGGCACTTTCAGGCATACTGTCCCCAGGAGTTACCTAGCCCTGGGAAAGGCAGCCTCTCCCTAGCCAGCAAGACCTCCATGTGTCCAAGCTTCATAAAATATAGAAAAGACAGTTAATAGAGCCCAGAGCCTCTGTCCTCCTGACTACCCATACCCTCCCTCTTGTGAAGTACATTTCCCCTTAGGGCCTTGGTGACTACAGGTGCTAGACCTGTTCCACCTCCTCCACCTGAGAAATGCCAACCATCCTTGAGACCCTGGCACAAGGCCCTTCCCAGACCAGCACAACCCCTCCGCACTCTGCTCAGGTGGACTGCCCGCCAGCCTGCACTGAGGATCTCCGGAGACAGGCCCAGCCTTCACTTACCTCTCCTCCCAAAACCTTGCCTGGCTCTGAACCATGTGTGACTTTGGGCAAGAGACTAACTTGCCACAGTCTGATGTTCTCATTTGCAAAACGAGGATAAAAATTTGCAGCTATCTCACAAAGCTTCGGAGAAGATTAACTCAGACATGGACAAGGTCTTATCTTTTCAGGCACATAACAGGTGTTCCAGGTTGCTACACCACTTTAACCTCTCATGAAGGCCCATGACTCAGGCCAAGACGCTAGTTCCTTCCACTTCTCAGCCGCTGCCGCATGCACAGAGCACAGCCAGGCATGCTGCTTGCTCTGCCATCTATCTCTT